AAGCGCGGGAAGCCAGCACGCCCGCATTTGCACACGCAGCCCGGTGGTCACCAAGCGGGTCGAGGCGACCCCGACAAGCGCATGTGCGTGGCGCCACAGGCAACGCAAGTCTCAGGCGTCGCAACAGGATAACCCGAGGTTGGGAAGACTGTCAGGGCACGTGCAGCGTGTGGCCCAGCCTGCGACAGCAGCAGCGCACGAGATGCGGCATCAAGGTGAGAAAGATGCAACTCGAGCGCGCGCTCATCGCCGGCTGCAGCAGCAAGTCGCTGCCACCCGCGTAACGGCTCCCCAAATTCCCGCTCGGCCGATGCCTGGGCTTCGACCTGCGTGGAGCCCCAGTCCGGCACACCATAACCCTGCCCGCGAAGGTAGGCCGCAGCCTGTTGGGCCGCCGCGAGGGGGGCTGCAGCTTCAGGCCCCTCCGCCTGCAAATTTTGCAGCAGCCGCGCAGCGACCGCCGGGGCGCGAGCGCGGATTACAGCTCAATGCCGGGAAAACGCGCATCTGGAACGCCGCTGGTGAGGAACCTTCTGACATCGCTCACCTCCAAGTGCCCGGCGGGGACACAATCTGGACTGGCGCCTGGTCCTTGCCCTCCTGCCAGCAAGGTATCCTAGTCCTCGGTGCCCCGCTTGGAAGCGAGGCCTTCGTCCAGCATGAGCTGCGCCGCAAGCGTGACTCGCAAGACGCACGCACTGCTCCGACGGCTCCCGTCCTTGTCGGACCTGCAAGCCGCGTGGCTGCTTTTGCTGTTTTGCGCCTCGCCCCGAGCCAACTACCTGCTCCGCATGCTCCTTCCTGGGGTGACTGCGGACATTGCCCGGGGACACGACACCGCAGTGCAAGGTTGCCTGTCCACGCTCCTCGACCAAGCCCCCGACCTGCCCTTGCCCGAGCAAGCGCAGCGGACGCTCCACCTGCCTCTCCGCTTTGGCGGACTGGGACTGCGCTCTGCTGTCGCCACCGCGCCTGCGGCGTACTGGGCCTCTTGGGCAGACTGCCTACCTGCCTGCGCGCGTGGCTCCACAAGGCCTCTTGCAGGGTGGCGTGCACTGCCGCAACGCGCTCGGGGGGCGCGACGATGTAGGTGTCGTCCAAAAAGGCGAAAACGGCTTCGCCATCCCGCAGATGGGCTGCAGAGGCTTCTAGGGCGGGGTGAACCGCGAGGGAGTACAAGGCCGGCATGAGGGGGTCTCCCTGCTCTCCGCCCTCGCCTTGGGCGATGTCGTGCTCGCAGCCGTCAGCATCGAGCCACGTGTAGAGGCTACGGCTGCCGTAGAACTGCCTGGCAAAAGGCAGCAGGGGCTCGAGCGCTGGCCGCGTCTGCAAACCTTCGAGCATGGCTTGGCGGGAGACATGATCGAAGGCCCCAACCGCATCAACGGACAACACAGTTGCACGCGGGTCAAGCGTTGTGGCGGTGTGGAGGAGCTTGTACAACCCCTCGGTGCCTGCCCTGGTGCTCAAGCCGCACTGGTGCGGGAGGCAGGCCTTTTGGAACGCGGCTGCAAAGTGCTGCGCCAACGTTCGGGCCACGAGGCGCCTGAAAACGTCCCCGACAACCAGCGCCCGCACGCGGCCATTGGGCTTTTGCAATGCAACCGCACGTCCGACGCGGATGGCCGCAAGGACGGGTTCCGGTACATCCGCATTTGCTAGCCGTTCGGCTGCGCGGTGGAGCAACGTACCGTCGTCAGGGTCGTCAAGGAGGAGCCGCAAGTGCTCGTTAGTAGTTCCGGACGGCCCTGCAGCGGAGCCGCGCCGCGCGCCTCGTAGGCAGGCCAGCAACCCGTCAGCGGGAAGAGTGCATGCAACGGCAGGACGGTGTGTAAGCACGGCATCTGAGAGGGGCACCTGCAACTCTGGCGGTCGCCGCTCAGGGTCGCGGAGCTCTGCCAAGGTCTCGGCGGTGCCTGGCGCCAGCGGCGCTGCTGTGAGCGCTCGCGCGGCGGCCGAGAGCTCTCCCAGCTGTACCAGCCGGACGGCTCGTGCCGCACGGGCTGACTCGCTGGCTTCAGCAGTGTTGCCACGAGGCTCAGGGTGAGCTCGGGGCGCTTGGTGCAAGAGCGCTAGCCATTCCCCTCGGCGGAAAAGCTCGCAACGCCGCTCAAGCTCCCTGGCGTCGATGAAGGACTGGCCAGCATCGCGACGGAGCAGCATGCGGGAGGCAAGGAAGAACAGCTTCCAGCCCCGAGCCACCTCGGCAGGCCCTGCAGTTCCCAGCGCCTCGCGGAGGCCGGTGCGGAGGGCAGTGCGAAGAGTGCCTCGCACCTTGTGCGGTGCGGCTTGAAGCGTGAGCACGCGCTGGCGAATCTCATCATGCAGGCTGATGTCGTCCAGCTGCCGAAGGCCACGGCGAAAGCCAGCTTCAGCAGCGATGAGGCGTCGCTCAGCCTGGGTGGATTGCGACCTTCCATCGACTTGGGCGGCCAGCGGCCTTGCGTCTTCCGGGGCCGGGCAGTCTTCTGTCGGTTGCGCCTCCCGACTGGCGCGGCCTCGCCCGCGACCCCGGCCTCCACGGCGGGTTTGCCGACGGGAGCTTGCGGCGCGCTTGGCAGCAAGTGCTAGGCCAGCATCAACAGCATGGACATCATGGGCCGAGTCACCGTCAGCTGGGATGGCCGGGGGTGCATCGGCTACCTGGGCGTAGCAAACGTCGGCGCGGTCAGGGGGCAGGCTGCCGTGAGTAGGCGCCACCACACCAACCGCTGCCTCACCGCTGGGAAGGTCAGCGACGGTGCCATCTTCGGCATGTTGGGGGGCCGGTCCAGTCTGGGCGTGAGGCTCGTTGGATGCCGCCTCCTCAGCTTCTTGTCCAGCAGCGTTTCCTAAAGGGGAGGCTCGATGGCCCCGTATGTGACGGTTAGTCGGCGCGCGTGTCGGAAAATGTCCGATCGACGGTCAAGCGCTGTTGCAAATCCGGCGCCGCCAAACGTTTCCAAGCACACCGCCTGACCCGCAGCAGTGATGTAGCCGTCTTCCCCAACCAAATGACGCACGACCCATCCAAGGTGGATCAAGGTGCTGGGTGGGAGAGTGGCGGCCTCCGCTAGTGCTGTTTGAGGCAGCGCTTCATGATTGTGGACGGCTGCTGCGATGAGCGCCTCCGTTAGGGCGGCCACCGGGACAGGGGCCGAGGCAGCAAGGGCACGACGGGCCTCTTCCCACCATGGGGCGGCTCGCGGGTCGGCACGCCACTGGGCGAGTGCTCCATCAGTGAGTGCGCCGAGCGCGGCATGCAGCAATGGCACGTACAGCCAAGAGTTTGTCGGGCTGCGGACTTGCGCGGGCGGCCCGCAGCCATACCACTCGCCGCGCGACTCCCCATCGCGAGGGTCGGCGGATGTGTGTTTGTTGCGCTCCCACGCCTGTACCTGGGGGATGCGCCGCAGGCGCATCACAGGCAGGCCCAGTGACATGAACCCGGCCATGCGCGCCGGGGCTTGTAGTGGCAGCGCCAACGGGTGGCGTGGCTTGGGTTTGAGGTCCCGGCACAGAGCCCCGCGCTGCCAAGGGAGGCGCGTCAGTGGGCTCAGGGCACCGTGGTGCAGAGGCAAAGGGAACAGCCGCGCGGGCATGCAAGGTGCCCAGATGCCGTTGCACGGTCAAACTCCCAGGCAAGGACATCGCCACAGCCAGGGCAATGGCTCCCAGCTTCTGCAGGGATCGGGAGGTCGTCAATGCTTACCGCTTCCGCACAAGCCATGCAAACCCAAGATGGTTGCCACGCTGCAATTCCTGCTTCGTGGCGGATCGCGACCGGGGCCCAGCGCATTTCACGGCCCGGTAACCGCACGAAGTCGACCCCGCCAGCTCGGCCTAAGGCCGCAACGTGGTGGCAGCACAGGAGAGTGACCCCAGGTGGCGGTCGTGGTTCCGGCGCGTCCTGGGCCGTAAAAGTGCGGAGTGCATAATCCGTCACGGCAACTCGGACTGTGCTTTCGCCGGATATACGGGCAGGGATCCGAACGCCATGCCGCGCACATAACTCACGCAGTGCCTCGTCATGTCTGCTGGTCCAGCCCTCTTGGTTGCATGCAGTAGACCGGCTGTGTCGGCAGAGGGGACACAACAGCTCTGATGCGCCAGCGGCCTGAGAACGAAATTGCGCTAGGCAACCGAGGTGCATGTGGTGGGCAGCACATGTCGGGAAAGGAACAGGCACACCGGCGGGCTCAGGCTCACCGGATGAATGGAGGTCTTCCAGGCACACACAACAAACCCCGTCGCCATGGGCAGGCGCCAGAGGTGTGACGTCACCTGGGGCCGTTGTGGGAGAGTTGACGACGTACGGGGAAGCAGGCGCAGCGGATCTTTGTGGGACGTGTCGCGGAGGACGCTGCGGGGAATCTGCGCGAGAGCGGCCAGACATGTCGTCGAGCGACGTGGCCGATCTGCAAAGCTCGAAAACAAGCTACCCTAGGCAGAGGAGCAATGCAATTGTCTTTTTTCGGGCGCAGGTGTGGGGTGGCCGAATCACACGTACAGCTCGCAGCGCAACAGACTGCGCCCTTGCCGTCAATCACGCCTGAGCTGTTGGCAAGGTGCAGTGGCAAAGGGTGACACGTTGGGCTGAGGACACTGCTATGGCGAGGAGAATATGGCACGCAGCCAGTGGGCAAGCCGGTGAGGAGAAAGGCGCCCTGAGTACAGCACAAATGCAAAATTCACCCCGCGGCA